AAATTTTCCTTCCTAAGTCACAGTGAAACAGAACAGGATAATCTAGTAACTCACACACTTTCCCAATCGCAGCTCAAAAGTACAAAATCAGACTGTCTGATCTTCATTTAAATGGCCTTCTGAACCACTCCCAGGCAGCACTTTTGGAAATCTGGAATCACTGCCAATATTCTGAATCCCTGAGGCCTTAGAGCTGTCTTTTATGTATTTTGCTTAACATATATGCAAAATCATGTTGTATATGTACCTATAGGTATCAAATTCAATTTCTTTCTTTCTTTCTTTCTTTCTTTTTTTTTTTTTTTTTTTTTTTTTCGAGACAGGGTTTTTCTGTGTAGCTTTGTGCCTTTCCTGGATCTCACTCTGTAGACCAGGCTGGCCTCGAACTCACAAAGTTCTGCCTGGCTCTGCCTCCCGAGTGCTGGGATTAAAGGCGTGCGCCACTACCGCCCGGCTCAAATTCAGTTTCTATAAATTCAGTTTTTCTTTATTTTTTGAGAATTTCATACAGTGTCTTTTGATCATATTCACCCCTCCCAACTCTTACCAAATCCACTCCTCATCCACATCCATCAAAACTTTGTGTCTATTCCCCCCCCCCTTTTTTTTTAACTCCTAAGGGCAAATTTGTATACCCTAAATATTCTTGGATGTGTGGTCTTCCACTGGCAAGTGGCCAAGTTACCAGAAGCTACATGCGGAAAACTCACTCCGTTTCCCAGCAGCTAATAATTGCCCACAGCTTCACACCCAGGGGTGGGAGCTGTGCCGTGCTCCTGTGGGATTTGGTCTGGCTTGGGCTTGGACAGTCTTGTGCATGCTGTCCCAACAACTCAGTCCACATGCAAAGTTATCCTGCCATGTCCAGAAGACACCATTTCCATGTAGCCATCCATCTTAGACCTCTTCTGCCCTCACTCCCACGATGATCCCGAGCTTGGGGACGAGGTGTGCAGTATATGCGTTTATTTAGTGCTGAACATTTGACAGTCTCTTCTTTCTGTATCTTGTCCAGCTGTGGGGGATGCAAGTTAAAAAAACCATCTACTTCAAATAGAGGCTTCTCTGATGAGGGTTGAGAAATGCGTGAATCTGTGGGCATAACAGTAAGTTATTAGAAATTGGTTTATTGCTATGCCCATTTAGAAGATTAATAGTAGTAGGTTATATACCTCCTGGTCTCTCGTACAGCACTTTATCATCCTTCATTCCAATTCATCTAACAATTGATACTGAAAACTCTACATGTGGCTGCAGGCCATGAAGGCTGGTTAATTTTTAAGGATGACTGGCCATTGAGTAGCACTATGTAAAGTATTCTTGGTGCTCCATTATTCTTGAAAGTTCTGAAACTAAACATTTAATTCTAGAGTGTTTTGTTGTTTTGTTTTGTATTCCCCTGCTCTATCAGAAATTTTGGATCTATGCATGCCTGGTCAAGACTATGGGATCCCTGCGGAGCTGCCATGGACAATGGTGTATCTGGTATAGACCACAACATGTGTGATGTTTATACAGGGACAATTGAGGCAAAGGGCACTGGGGGAGGGGGTTAATTGCCTTTTGGTTTGAAATAGGAGTCAATAGTTTATAATGACCCATTTTTTTTTTCAGTACGTAAAGACTCCCAGGAACATGACTCTCTAGTTTTTTTAATGAACTGATTATCTAGCTAGTGGGAGAAACACTAAAACCTTGGGTGGCACCAAACTACAAAGTTCCACAACGATAGAAGCACACCAAAGTGTGAGGAACTAAAGTTTCTTCTCATGAGGGATTCGAACATCATTAAGTCTTAACGTTCACATCCTAGTCTAGAGCTGTGCAATTAACTATGGTAATCACTGCTCATATGTGGCTTTTCAAGAAATTAACTTTAAAGAAATTAAAATGATATAAATTATGACAGTTATTCCTCCCACCATTCCAGGCTCATTTTAAGTGTTTCATGAAAGTGTGCGTTTGGTTCTTCTCATAGAGAACAAAGATCTGGTAGAATTGATACCTGGTAGAAATTATAAAAATTTATTTATGAAAATGAAGGGTTTTATTTGTTGGGAGGCTTGGTACTGCTTCAGAGGCATCACCCATTGCAGGCTTGCTTGTCTTCACTCATTCTTGGTAAGTCGTGTTTCAGGAACACACTCCCACTTATTTTCTAGGTCCCCTATTTCTCGGAATACGAGTTTTCAACATTATCCTCTAATGATGCTCTGGATTTCCTTGGTAAATATGGTGACGTTCCTCTTCTTATCTTTATTAACTTGGTTCTTCTGCCTCTTTGGGTTAAGTGAGGCTAGGGATTTGTCAATCTTGTTTACCTTTTCGAAGACCCAACTTTTTGTTATACTGATTCTTTATACTCTTCTTTCGGTCTCCCTTTCATTAGCCTTTCTCCTCTAATGAACAGATTTAAAAAAAGTGGTCCACATACACTATGGTACTCAGTCATGAAGAAGAACTGCGTTTTTGCAGGAAAAGATGAAAGTAGATAGCCTTATGTTAAGCAAAATAAGCAAGAAAAATGTTACATATTTTTCCTCAGATGTGCTATCTAGACAAGCGAGTGTGCACTCACACACACCATGAAAGCAGAAGGGGGGCTATTTAGGAAATGGAGGGAGACCAGTGGGAGGAGACAGAGTGAGTGAGAGGTACTCGGAGGCGCATATGAGCAAAGTACATATGAACATATGTGTTTGTAAAGTGGCATAAGGGAACTCATCATTTTGTACAAATATATACAAATGAGTAAATCCATAAACGGTAATGACATTCGTGATACATCCCCATCATTGTAGAATGATCCATTCAACAGTGCTGATATCACAGATGAAAGAGTCAGTCCATCAACAAGCACTTCTTGGATGTCCTCTTTGGCCAAAGCAGGGAGGCCCTGCCTGCTTTATTCTCCATCACCTTAGACTGGAAGGTGACAGAGTATGGCCTTAGAGTTTGCTATGAATTGTGACAGTTACTTTCCTCAGTAAAGAAACCATCTGTTAAGAGGTCATCGTGGACCAAGTCCACAGGCAAGGGAGTAAGAGGATGTGGCTCTCTGCGGGTTGGAACTTCCCATATGAAAGAGTTCTGATGGGCAGGAGATGGTTGGAGGCACTTTTGACAGTTACAAAAGGTGAGTGTAGTGGGTAGCTGTTCCAGCTTTGACCTGGAAGTACTACCCCCATTGAGGCTTTGGTAACTGTCACGCCTACAAGGCAGGCTGAGACAGGAGCCCTTAAGAGCCGAGATCCAGATGTGCTGGCTCTCTTGGTTTCTAGATCCTGGATGCTGGAGGTAGATCAAGCAGAGTTCTCCAGAGAACACCACTGGACTGCACTACACCTTTCCCGGGCCCTGTAACCTATCCCTTTACTTGTAAGTTACCCCACAAAATAAACCTCCCTTTTAAATACGTAGAGTTGCCTTAATACTACAACCAATAGGTGAGTGTGTCGCCTTATTTTTGAATTTTATCTAAGTTACCCCTTGGCTTTCCTCTTACTCAGTTTTTGTTTGCTTAAGACAGGGTCTCACTATGTAGCCCTGGCTGGTGTGGAACTTGCTATGTAGATCAGGCTGGCCTGCTTCTGCCTTCTGTGTACTAGGACAAAAGGCATGTACCACCACACCTAGCCCTCACCTAAGATTTTGCAAATGCATCTCTGAACCGAGAAATTGTGAAGAAATAGACTGCTTGGAGTCTTCATCTGTAGGGTTATGCGGCAGAAGGTAATAAAGTCTCCCTAATGGAAATTAGCAAGCAGGATGGAACAGATATGAAAATAAGGAGGCACCTACACATGGGATACTAGATTATTAAAGTTATTAAATGTATTTTATAAAGCCAAGAGATCTCTAGTAACTATAAAAGGAGCAGTTGCCATGAACCGATGAGAGAACTAGAAGGAGCTACAGGATATGAGGAGGTAGTTTTCAATGAAAATGTACACTGAGTGCAGTTTATCATTGGTTATTTCCTCCCGGTCTCCCCACTAGTACACACCCTCAAACAGGCATGCCTCCTCATACTTCAATGCACTATATCAATGCACTATACCTTGGACACACTGCAATTCTTTACTTTAAAGGGAAGGTTTGTGGCAAACCTGTGGCAAACAGGTCTATACACACCATTTCCCCAACAGCCCAGGTAATCACTGAACATTTTAATAATGAAGCAGTTCTTCTTCTTCTTTTTTTTTAATTTGGTTTTTCGAGACAGGGTTTCTCTGTGTAGCTTTGCACCTTTCCTGGAACTCACTTTGTAGACCAGGCTGGCCTTGAACTCACAGAGATCCGCCTGGCTCTGCCTCCCGAGTGCTGGGATTAAAGGTGTGCGCCACCACGGCCCGGCAATGAAGCAGTTCTTAAAGAATTATTTTTCTTACTATTTTTTTAAATTTATTTTTGTTTTGTTTTGCATTGGTGCTTTTGCCTTCATGTATGTCTATGTGAGGGTGTCGGATCTTGGAGTAACAGACAGTTGTCAGCTGCCATGTGGGTGCTGGGAATTGAACCTGTGTCCTCTGGAAGAGCAGTCAGTGCTCTTAACCGCTGAGCCATTTCTCCAGCCCCTTTTCTTACTATTTTTAAGTGCACGTTTGTGAGGGTGAGACTGTGAGTGTACGTATATGCATGCACACACATGACTGCAATTGCCTGTGGAGGAATACAACTTTCCTGGAACTCAAGTTATAAGCAGTTGTGAAATGCCTGACATGGATGCTGGGAATGACTCAGGTCATCAGCAAGAGCAAGAAGCTCTGTTAAACACAGAGCCAAAATACCACAGAGTATTTTGAATTTAAGTATGTACCCTGTTTTAATCCTAATGCCATTGCATACTCAAAAGACTATGAGATAGTTTAAACACAATTCTTACAGGGATGGATATAAAAAAATAGTGTGACGCATTTTGTTACCTCATGTCTCTGTGGTAGCACTGTATCCAGTAAATGGCAGATGAACGAATCTTTAGGAAAGAAATTCACACTGAATGCATAAATTCCTTTATTGAAAATATTGGAATAGCACTGCATTACATGTAGTTGATATCCATAATGAAGGACCACACATTCCTGTTCAGACAATACTGTTTTAAATAGAGAATACAGCATCTGGATTATGCTCTCACGAGTATAGCGTCATGGACTAAACTAGGTAAGAGTGATCTATAGGCAAACTGACCATCCTGTTCATTAACAGCATGTGGTTACAAATGGCATCCATGGTGAGCATAATCACCACAAGATATTTCTGGGATCTCACCAACTCATGAGTATGAGCAGACCAAGTTCAAATTATGTGTTTTTAACCAAGAGTCCTCAATGGGAGAATGCCGGTGAAAAGTGTGTATCTGGTCTACAGATTTAAAATTTTATAGCATTCATTAAACTAGCACGGAATGGCAGTGAGTATAACAATTGATGATGTGACAGAGGCCACTGGGTGTGTTCTTTTCTTACAAGGAGTCTAAAATTGAAGAAAAACTTAAAGAAAATATCCTGAACGTAAACAGATATGTAAACACAGTATGCTAATTTTCCTTTCAATAATGAGTGGGGAAATAATTTGTGATAGACTACTTTTCAGCTTTGGCTATTATTGAAAAAAAAAATTCCCATTAGTAGTCTTTGGCTTTCATAAAAGGGTGGCAATCAACAAAGTTAATGATTTTATTTCTTACTGTTTAAAATAAAAGATGTCTTACGATGTGAAAAATGAGTTTCTACTTTAAAAAATAGAGTTCTCTTTTTTCTTTCAATTGTGATATAAATGCAATTCTTTACACTGTTTTGTTTTTCCTCCAATAGAATTCGAGAAACCAAGAAAATTGGTCCAACTTGACATTTTCATCTGACATTAAAAATGGAGAAATTAAACACTCCCCTTTAAAACAGAGGGCTACTCATTCATGTAAACACCTGGAAGGAACCTGTATTAAAAAAAAAAAAAACAAAAACAAAGAGAAAACTAAAAACTAAGTTACTATTATGAATACACAATTTCATAAGAAGCAGAACATTCTCTTTTCAGAAGTAGGATTTGTTGTACGTCCACGTTCATAAAGGTTCCCGTTTTGATAGACACCAACTTACAACTGTGAGAGATACCATGTTCTGCTTCACACAAATGCTTAGGGTATCAAAGTGTCCTTTAAAAAATAAACGAAAAGCTTGTCTATAATAGTCAGATCAATGAACATTGGTAATGAGCTTTGGAAAATGCATGTATAGAGAGATACATAGTCTTAAAACATTAAGACTATCTCACCCTAAATAATCAGGGCAAAAAAAAAAATGAGTATCCAACTACATAAATCAAAAGAGACTTGTTCCCCAAATATAAGCACAAAAGGTACACATTTCTTTATTTCAGGATTTGACACATTAAAAGAAAAAAATGCCAACATATTTCAGACAATATACTAGAAACAATAAATAAAAACAGCTTGAAAAATCAGATATTCCCTTTAAGTGCTATGTCCTTTCAATTTCCCTAATCAGATTCAGTTTTCCATGGCAAACAATAACTATACATTTGGTAAATTATGTTGATAAATACACAAGGCAGGTATATATTTCCACAGTATCTTTGTTTTTCACAGTTACCAAAAATAAAAATTGCATTCAACTCATACATCTATAAACACTCTGATTTCTCACGGCGTGGGTCTGAAAGCGGTGGGAGCCCAAAGTCTTTTTAACAATCTGGACTTCAGATTTCTGTCTTCAGAAAGATGTCTTCAGCATGGGCCCTCTGCGGGTACCTTTCAGAATCTTTCTGCGTTGTTATCATGCTCTGGGATGATGGCAGAAAGTAAGCCTTGCTGTGAGATGAGGCAGGCAGGGCTAGGGCTCGTCTTCTTCCAGTGAGAGGGCTAGTCTAACCCAGTCTTTTTGACATCATATTTTAAGGCAGCCTAAATGTCACTCAAATGTCCATACCTCTAGGTCCTGAACTATGAAGTCTTCTTTTTTGGAGAGAATATCATTATTAAATGTGCTGCACGAGTTGCTGCGTCCATGGTATAAGTCGGCATCTAGCCACAGACCAAACCGGCCCCTGGAACAAGGTCAGAGAAGAAAGGAACTTCAGTGACACCCCACACATGGCATGCGTTCTGTCTTCCTTCACCAGGTTTTCTTTCCTTTAGGCCATGACAGACAGAACTCTAAACTGCTCACCAAATAAAAGCAAGCTGCACAGACAGGTCTCTCCGAAAAGACAGATAGTGTTAAGTCTCTATGGCACCTTCATAAATCATTTATTCTTTGATTCTCAGTGTCCTGTGTGAGTGCACTGCCCTAATTAATCTAAGCAAATAGACTAGCTGGGTCAAAACAGAACCTCCCGCAAGAAAATGACAGGAATCTTACCCTCCACCACCAAGTTCTAAGGAACTTATGTCTCCGTTGATAAAATAGGAGTTCTCTCCACTCCACTTAAAGACCTAGGGGCAGAAACACAAAACAGCAACAGACATTTCAGTTTGGAGAATCAGCAGGGAAGGCCTCTTGACTAGTTGTGTTCTATGTAAGGGGAACACACCTTTGACTAAGGAAGGGCTCGGCAGAATGGTTGTGGTGAGGTCACCAGTGATTACAAAATAGTAAAGAGCATTCCACAATGTGTGGGCTCTGACCTTCAGTCTCCTCCTGCATCTCAGACTGAGAAACTCCTAAGGCTGGGTCTCTGAGTAGTCTGCGTGCTACAGTCATTGGGGAACTAACTCAGAGTAAAGAATGTAGGTGAGATTACAGGGCAGCTGTTTATCCCAGTGTCTGGGCACCCCACCCGCCCTGACTGCTGACCACACAATACTGGCCATTCAGGGATTTCAACCATCCAGGTACCTTGAAATTAGGGCTAAAGGTGTAGAGAAAAGTTTCGCCCGTGCCGTAATAGTGGTCACTGAACTTGAAGGGATGAGTTGCATATGCCCCAAATATCTATTAAAAGAAAACAGAAGAATTAATCATCTTCAAAACTAAACTCCCATAGAGAGACACTCTGAAATATTTTTGACACACTATTGTTCTAAGCTCTTATAACTCCTTCAACAAAGGTTATTACTAAATTAGAACTCTTAAGTGGGAATAAAAAAAAAGCATCAAACAAAGCCAATATCCCCAGCTCTAACTGGAACCCATGTGGCCAGGGTTTCCTGGTACATGGAAAATCCATCAAAGAACTCAGAGAATGTATTTATTAAAGGCCAACAATTCAGCTGTTAAAAGGCCACTGAAGACAAACACGGAGAAAAACAAGATGTGTGTTATGTATGGAAATGAGTGCTTGGCAGGGCACAATCACAGCTCTAGAATGATGTAGTTTTGTGCTGACTTTTGTTTCTTGAGACAGGGTCTTATAATACTGGATAGGCTAGCGTGGAGCTCACCATGTAGCTAGGTTGGCCGCTAGCATTCAACAAAATATTCTTGTTCTAGCAGCTTGGGCTTATAGGTGTGAGCTGTCATGTCTGGCTTTCTTATGTGTTTTATATGCGATATCAAGGCTGGACATTTCTCCAAAAGAAAATGAACTTTCCTTCCTTTCAGTTTTCAATAATGAGTGATGAAAATGCTTAAACATGACAGATCAATATACTAAGTTTGAAGTGACTTTTTTTTTAAAATATTTTTTAAGATTTATTTATTTATTATGTATACAGAAGAGGGTGCCAGATCTCATTACAGATGGTTATGAGCCACCATGTGGGTGCTGGGAATTGAACTCAGGACCTCTGGAGGAGCAGTTGGTGCTCTTAACCTCTGAGCCATATCTCCAGCCCTTGAAGTGACTTTTAACAACAACAACAAAAAAAAAAACCAAAACAAAACACTCCTTGACTTGAAATGTGATGCGTTTACATCAATGGTTCTTCTATCTCTTATTGGGAGGTAGGAGAGTCATGTTACTGAATACGGTCAGGCACTTCCTCAGCTTTCTGTCTGTCTGTCTGTCCCCACCCTAATCAGTACATATGTGTGAGTTAGGAGAGGTAGGTGCATATATGTAAAATGTCACTCAGCCCTTCATGGATCTTCCCCTCCAGAGCCTACTTGAAAAACATTGCTTTAATAGAGGTTATTTGAAAATGTCTCAGATTTTTTTCAAAACCAATACTTGAATTAGTTCAGAATCACTGTGTGCTCTCTTCTTCAATAGTTCTTTTTTAAAATACTCAACATTCAAGATTTCTAGTTCTAAACAAAGATTTTCATACTTACTAGCCCCAAATTTTCTCTACAACTGCTAAAAACAAAGAAAAATAAAACATGTTTTCTAATAAAATATAAACATTATTTTCTCTTTTCTTAAGGAGCTAGGGTACAATATAGAGGCATTTATTATTTTTTTTTGAAGCATGATCTTAAAATATGACTAGAAAGGAGTAGGTGGAAATGGGCTCCTTTTAGACAATTAGCAGGAAATGCTATCCATACTCTCAGGCTCCCGATGAAATTCTAAATAATATTTTTCAGCTAAAAGTTTTTCAGTGATTATGAAAATCCACTTAAGGATGAGGGATTGAGTCATACCAGGGCTATGTATCAGGTATGTTGCTCAGAACTATGTAAACAAATATCTATGCTCTTTGTTCTATTCATTTATTTAGTGGAAAAAGTACATAAAACAATTTGTATATAATGATATTTGTACATAATGAAAATGCAATACATTTAGCAATAACAGAAAAAAAGAATCCATACAACTAAAGAAAATTGGAAAGGATATAGTGAAGGTTAATATAATAAAACCTGTGAATATCTAATTGTTCTTTTCTCTAAGGATTGACCCTAGGGTCTCACACATGGTAGGCAAGGACCCTGCCACTGAGCTACAGCCCTGGCCCTACCACTGAACCTTTTTTTCCCTCTTCATTTTGAGAAAAGGTTTCATCTGCCCCAAGAGTAGCTACAATTGCAAACCTGTAACACAGGCCTGCCTCTCAACTCCATTAGCAGTTTGCTTTGGGTTTGTAATCTATATGGGTACATTATGCGTAACAACAGTATCATAAATAGTGGGATGGTGAAATACTGCAATATAGATGTGACATCTCTCTGCCTCACTAATGCTGTTTGCATAAGCCACACTCTATTAATTGCTGAAGATCTGATAATCTAACAGTTCCACGTGTTACAAATTACCGGATAGTTTGGTTTGACTGCAAAGGGGCAGAGATCCTGTCCTCAGTGAGTCTGGGAAGTTATCCCAACTCTAAGAAGATTCTGCTTAGCTCCCTTCCAGATTCTTCCTGGTAAGCTAAAGACTCAACAGCATAGCTCATTGTCTTCGTGGAGAGCCCAACTCCTCTCAATTGTTTAGAGCCAAAAATGTAATCACTGCTGGGAATACCCTTGGCCTTGAACTTCCCTATACTCATCTAAAGACATGCCCCAGCTCCCTAAGGGGGGGGGGAGGTATGTCAGGGCTCCATGTCCTATGGCCAGCCTCTCCTCTTGGAACAAGTCCCTAAGCCACTGAACCGAAGCGTCGGCTACACATCTGTCTGCTTTTCTCAGAAAAACAACTTTGCTCTGTGAGCCAAGTGCAGGTCTGGCCTTGGCTTGTCTCAAGGTGCGCCTAGTGCTGGAGCAAGAACAATGGAGCATCTGGTACCCACAACCTGCCATCTCCGTGATGAAGCACCAACCCAGAGGAAGGAAGGGCTGGGTGGAAGGAAGGGCCTTCTGCCTCTAGGCCATACTTCTCTGCATTTTATCTCTGGGACACTGAACTTGGGAGGGGCATAAGACGTGCTGGGCACCTGCCCCTGGAAGGGACAGATGACTAGCAGCCGAGAGAAGAGGGAGCCCATCTCCTGGGATACACAGGCCCAGAGTAAAACTACAGGTTTGAGCTGGGGTTGTTGGAAGGATGGGAAGCCGGGTGGGTCTCACGTGCCAAAGAATTTCATTGTTATTACTGAGATTTATTAGATTTTCTTGAATAAATATTTCTTCATTTGCTGCATGCCTTTAGGACAATTTCCAGAGACTTTAAAGGGTTGTTGTTTTTACGGTTCCCACCAGTCATGGCTCTTTCCCTGATTCTGCACAGCGCCTCACTCTCATTCTGCATGTAAAATATTGGCTTCTCCTAGCTCTGTCATATTCTCATGGACAGCAAAGCCACCTCATTTCTGAGGGTGGAGGAGGAGCTGGAATGTGCAGAGCTAATGTCCAAGTATCCTCACTAGCTCAAGCGTCTCCAGGGCCCAGGAGAGGCAAGATGTTGCTCCAGTGGTTCTCAATCTGTGGGTCGCGACCCCCCCCTACAGGGGTTACATATCGACTATTTCCATTATGATTCACAACAGTAGAAAAATTACAGTTATGGAGTAGCAACACAAATAATTTTATGGTTGGAGGTCACCACAACATGAGGAACTGCATTTAAAGGAAGCAGCGTTAGGAAGGTTGAGAACCACTGCTCTACTCCGACAAAGGCCTCAGGCCTCTGTGACATCACCACTAGCTGGAAGCGTGGTGAGTCTGTGCCTCATTGATACCTTCTCAGTGTGGCCCTCTTACCATTCTAGCTTGATATCACTGCTAAACAGATAGGAAACTAATGCGTATTTTGTAACCGATTTATGTGCCTAGTCATACTTTATCCGAGACATAGCACCTAATTTTTCAAACATCTCATAACTTGCTATGCAACTTCTCTTTAAACACTTTGTGGTATTTCATCTTAATTATACCCACTATTCAGCTTAGATCATTATTACATAGGAGTTATCAACTATGATGTAAAAATAATAACAGTTCCTTTCCTTTCCGTAATTCTTTTTTTTTTTCTTTTGGTTTTTCGAGACAGGGTTCCTCTGTGTAGCTTTGCGTCTTTCCTGGAACTTGCTTTGTAGACCAGGCTCACAGAGATCTGCCTGCCTCTGCCTCCCAAGTGCTGGGATTAAAGGTGTGCGCCACCACTGTCCAGCTTCCATAATTCTTATTATTGCAATAAAGTCATAAAGACTGTGTCTTTATTAACCTCATCAGGACCACATA